AGTTCTTTTAAAAGCGGAAATGGTTTCATAATTTTTTAAATAAAAATAATACCTAAATGTAATTTTTTATATAAGATGTATTATTTATAATGACAACATATTTTAACAAAAGTTTTCCATGTTTTATGGGGAAACACTGGTTTTTTCCAATCCTGAATTTTTCGAATATTTTGTACCTTTCGAGCTACCTCCGAAAGTGACGGATGGAATTTGGTCGATTTAAAGTCCTCTAAGCCTATAGTATATTTGTATAATTTAAAGAAAAAATATTGTATACAAGGTGTTTCGCATAAGAACCAATACAGTACAGGGACATGTAGGGGAGTCCAAAATATGGTGATTTAACGCAACTTACTTTTATACTAAGCTGCACCGTTGAGAAGTTATAGGCCTTGAAAGTGAGGTTTCAAATTTCGAAAAAAATCACTATCTTAGTTATACTTGAACTGAAAAATCAAATTTGGTGCACGGTGTGAGTGTACAAAGAGCAATCGACAGTAAGTAGAGTTCAATTGAAACATTTTTAAGGATTGATTAGGGATGACGCATTATTAAAATGCGATAAAAATTTTTAACCCGTTGGCGGTAATAATTTTTTAAGTCCGTCAACGGGTAAAAAAATTCTAAATTCTGTCACTTTTTAATGGTGCATCATTCCTTACCAATCCTTAAAATGTTTCAATTGAACTCTACTTAATGTCGATTACAGGCCCGGATCCAGAGACTGGTTTTGGGGGTGGCGCAAAGCACTTCTTTATCATTATCATTATTATTATTATTATTATTATTATTATTATTATTATTATTATTATTGTTGTTGTTATTTTTTTGATGACGTAAGGTGTAGGTTAGGAAGGGGGACTTGCATTAATATCGACTAACTGCCTGTTGTCGTTTGGAGAAGTTGAAGATCTTTAAAAAATGTTGTGCTTTGGGGGTGGCGATCGCCACATCGCCACCCCCTCTGGATCCGGGCCTGGTCGATTAATGCTCTTGGTACCAAATATGGTTTTTCTAAGTTCAAGTATAACTTGATATATTGATTTTTATCGAAATTTGAAATCTCACTTTCAAGGCCTATAACTTTTCAGGGGTGCAGCTTAGTATGAAAGTAAGTTGCGTTAAATCATCATATTTTGGGTTCCCCTATATGCCCCTGCTCTGTGTCGGTTCTTATGCGAAATAATATACAGGATGTAGATAGATAGATTTTCAATATTCTTATCGATGTATGATTATGAAAACAAAGTAGTCAACGAAAACCATTGTGACAGAAATTGGATTTTTTTTATTGAATAATCGCCTCTAGGCCTATAATTTCTTTTAATGTACGTAAAAGTATGTTTTATTATATGCGAGTCATGTATTCATAAATTCTAACATTCAGGAAAGAATAGTGATTTTAAATTTTTGTCTATACCCTGACAGTTGTGGCTGGATGATTATTATTTCAATCAAGTTATCAATTTAAGCTATTTAAATAGCTATTTTCAAGTTAAGGCATTTATAGAATTTATTTCACTATTGTGCTCCATTATAGTGTGTAGTTGACAACTTAAACACGACTCATTTGTAACATTATTGACGTAACCAGTAGTGATTAATATAACAACGCCAAATTTAGAAAAGTAAATTATTTGAAAAAGAAATAAAAACTCGGTCAGTTTGAAGGAGTAATAGTTCTTTCAGTGAATAGAATTTTCCCTATCAACGTAATGGGACAACTGAATATACTAAAAGGACCATAGGATTTTTTTATATATTGTATAAAGAGGAAATTGAATATTAAACCTACCCTAAACTTTGAACTAAACTGTGTTCGCCTCTTGGGCTTTTCAAATTAAACGAGTAATATGGAAAAAATATGATTGATATTAGGTGCACTGTCGTCGATAATAATCAGTAGATAAAAGTCAGTTTTCCTATAATTTTTCAGAAACATCAGCTATACAGATGTTCAGTTTACAGGGTTCTTTGTTTACAGTGGTTATCAGATATGTTCTCTTCAATTAAAATAATTGTGCCATTAACATAGCACGTCCAGTTATACCGGAAATAGTTGTCAACTTCGTTAATTTAAATGGAACAAATATTTGATACTTGTAGAATACTATAACAACTGCACCAAGATTTGCCTTTCAAGACACAATTGATATAATTTTTAACGTAATATTCTTGAGAATGTAAGTAAACCCTAAATATCTGAGAAAATTTAAACTGTAACCCCTACAATGCCTATATCGGTGAAAAAAGAATTTGATTTTTTATAATGTGATGCAAAAAATACAGGGGTTCCATTTGAATTTAAAAAGTGTCGGTTTTATGTTTTCAAAATGTAACATAAAAAATGAGACACTTAGTATAATTATTTTCCGATAATTTTGCAGAAGGTAATGCATCTTATAATCTTTGTATATTCCGAAAAGCAAGTGTAAGCTTCCAGAACGAAGAAAGATATGAGGAATTTTCGAAACGATTGCATCTGTCAAAATTTTTATAAAATGTCGATTATCTCGAAAACGGTTATATTTAGGTACTGGAAAGCTATAACATTGTGACAATTTTAATTTATCTTGTTAATGCAATAATATATAGGTGTTCCATTTAAAATAACGAAGTTGACAGCTACTTCCGGTAAAACCCGGAAGTGTTACGTTGATGGCACTATTTTCATTGAAGAGAACATATCTGATAACCCTCGTAAATAAAATTCCAGAGTCATTTTGTTTTTGGTTCCTCTGAAACGTTTAATAGGCAAAAACGCTGACAACTGCGGAGAGTCGCTGTAACAAGTTCAAAGTGTATGTTTTTAATTGATCTTGGACGATTGGTGTGTCCGTTTCTCATTTTTAAAGAATCACAGAGTCCTCAGAAATTATTTTTTTATTTGGATGGGGGTTTTTAAAGTTTGTCGCAATATGGCCATTACGCAACCTATAATAATTAATGGTTAATGTAATGGATTACCGTTTTAGTTTTGTAACGTTACCGTTAGATGTCGGTATTTATGCATCACTGAGATAGTTTTATGTACTTCATTGTGTTGTAGTATACTCAATTCAGTTTTCTTTATTGGTTCTAAAATGACAAAGTATTTACATAATACAAAATAAAATAGAATGCGTGCTGAAGTGAGTGACTCCATATAAAAATTGCATATAATATAAAGGCCGTGATAAGCTGTTTTTATACTTTATAGACACTTGATGATTCATGAAAGAAGTATAAACTTTAGGATATTTTCTTACATATGTAATTAGTGTAACAATGACATGACGATTTAGAATCTAAATATACCCTTACAAATTTTACCGGATCAGAAATTCTAATATATTTCGTTGGCTTGTCTGAAGCTAAATATTACGGTTTCTGTCTTGGTGGAATTTAAATTTAGTTGAGTCAACAGAAGCTATTAGTTCAGCATTAGTTCTAGTTGACGGGCATTTTCTATTAAATCGAAATTATTAGACTGTGATTATATTTATTTTTATTATCGGCAAATTAAATAGTCAACTAAAGTAAGTAACATTGAATAAGGTAAATCATTGATATAAATTTAGAAGAGAATCGGGCCAAGAATTGATCCTTGTGGTACTCCTGTATTAACACCGAGATATTTGATGTAGGATTATTAAAGATGACTTACGGTTGATTATTGTTACTGTGAAAACATCATATCTATGATAACACCGGCACGCAAAAAAGTGATATGTACCTTTGATTTGACCCAATAGTCTTTATGTATTTTGAGGTGCTGAATCCCAATCTGAAGTCCGTTTAGCTCAAACACCTCCAAAATTTTCAGTAATGGCAAAAATAGCGAAAAATCAGCAAAAATCCCGTCAGTGAGAGCAAAAAATTAAAAAAAAATTGTGAACTTAATCAAGTGGGTTTCTCATCTATTTTGTTGTGCTGAATCCAAATCTGAAGTCTTTTAAGCTGCACCCCCCCCCCCTCGAGATTTTGCAAAAATTGCAAAATAATCGAAAAATCCCAAATCATGTTAGTGAGCGCAAAAAAATTCGAAAACTTTTTTTTTGACGTTGATCAAGTGTGTTTCTTATGTATTTTGATCGCTGAATTCGGGTCTGAAGTCTATTAGTTGTATCCCTCCACAGATTTTGCAAACTAAAACGAAAAAAAAATAGCTGAAAATGGCAAAAAACCATATTAATGAGAGTGAGAAAATTTAAAGAGGTTTTCTTGATTGGATCAAGTGTTCTTCATAAATGCAAAATTTTTGAGCAATGAGGCTCAGCAGATTTTAGATTCAAATTAAACTCGACAAAATTTCTGAGAGGAACACTTGATCTAATCTAGAAATTCTCTTTCTAAATTGTCCCATTCTCATTAATATGATTTTTTGCCATTTTCAGCTATTTTTTGCGTTTATTTTTTTGCAAAATCTGTAGGGAGATATAGCTAATAGACTTCAGAGTCGAATGCAGCCATAAAAATACATAAGTAACACATTTGATCAACGTAAAAAAAAAATCTAAATTTTTTTGCGTTCACTGACGTGATTTTTGGTGATTTTTTGCTATTATTTTGCAATTTTTGCAAAATCTGAAGGGGGGAGCAGTTTAAAAGACTTCAGATTTGCCTAACGGGATTTTCGGGAATTTTTCACTATTTTTTGCGAATTACTCAAAATTTTGGGGGTGTTCTTGTGAATTGGTACACCTTTAGTTATTTTTAAACAATTTTGAGCAAATGGAGCAGACTGCTAAGTTTGAATATACTTAATTTATACTAAACTGCATTATTTCAAAACAATACGTGCCTCCTCTTTTTCAATATAACTTTTCATATGTCATTTTGAGAATTTCTGGTGAATAGTGATGTGTATGTAACACATTCACTTTGATGCATTCAGACAGCACATGAAACAACATTGTTGCTATAACAATACTGTAGTCATATTCATCCGCAAAATATCCTTCCTGCATGGGACAATAACATTAGTGATATTGCTATAACTTTATGTAATTTTCTTGCAGAACGAGAGAACGCCAGTCAAGAGCCAATCTAGTCCGTACTCCCTCTCACCCCTGAGCACCAGCAGCCAGCGGCTGCTCCGATCCCCCCACAAGGCTACGAGGAAGATCTCTAGGATACCCTTCAAGGTACTGGACGCCCCCGAGCTCCAGGACGACTTCTACCTCAACCTCGTCGACTGGTCGGTCCAGAACGTCCTTAGCGTCGGCCTCGGCAGCTGCGTCTACCTCTGGTCCGCGTGCACCAGCCAGGTGACGCGGCTGTGCGACCTTTCCAGCGACGGAAACGTCGTCACGTCGGTGGCGTGGAGTGAGAGGGGACACTTGGTCGCCGTCGGCACGCACAACGGTTACGTGACGGTGTGGGACGTCGCCGTCAACAAACAGGTGAATAAACTTCAAGGGCACACGGCTCGGGTGGGCGCGTTGGCCTGGAACGGGGACGTACTCAGCTCCGGAAGTAGGGACAGGCTGATTTTGCAGAGGGATACCAGGACGCCACGTAAGTACAATACAATACTCTTACCTTTATCTGCATATCGTTCCAATTTTTCTCCGTTGTTTTCAACAAATCACAAAATTTTTGAAGTCCTTTCATTGTAACTAGGGTTCAGGGATATGCGGTTCGTATTTGGTTACACATAATGACCGGTCAACTGTTCCATGTTTATTTTATTAATCCAACGGGAAGGAAACCCAATTTTAGGACGAATAAGTACCTAGCAATACAAAAACGATAACATTACAAAAAAACACAAACAAAACTATAAATTAAAAATGCAGTTGTCAATGAATAAGAACAGTACGTGAATGTTAATTTTGACAAAAAAAAATGAAGGAAATGACAAAACATCTAAATTATGAGAGTAGAGAACTCTTTTAAGATCTGCCAAAGCAAAATTGAATTTGAACTGTTCCCAATGTTAACATAACTAATTATTATTTGGTGACCAATGCAAAATATTGGTGTGAGAGGCTTCAAATAAGTTATTACATCATTTAGTCTATTAAGGCGATAATTGATGTGCGGTGTAAACATAATGCAATCGATATTGCTTATCACAATTTTATATAGGAGCATTACAGACTACATTATTCTTCTCTTAATACGGCAGTACATATCTTGAACTTATTTCCATAAGTAAATCTTGTGAAAAACTCGGATAAGACTTATCCAAAGTTTCCAATTTAAAAATCTAATTTGCGCTTTTTGTAATGATGTTATGTTACAGCTATAATAAGAAAACCAAGCTACAGAGGTCCGATTTGAGTCCAACTAAATTTGTAAATTATGTACGTAGATCGGAAATATTCTCGAAATCTACTATTACTCAGAATAAAACTCAAAATTAACTGTGCTGCATTTTTTGCGGTTAATATGTATGTCTTAATATGCGGAGGGTTGATTTGGGGGGTTGAAAAGTTATGAAAAATTGTATCATTGGGATTTCTGGCGAAAGTTCACGTCAAGCAAAAAAGTATCTAATACAAAAAATCTTTTGTACTTTTGTAGATGTCATTTTTTAACATAACCTCAAAATTTCCGAGAAAAATGCGAAAAACAGATTTTTTTTCTGATTTTTTGTTTTTATTTCTCATTTCTGCAAAAATAATTTAATTTTGACGAAACCTGGTGAAAGTATACCTTTCTCTGTCTTAAATAACCTCAAGTTCCTGAGATTCATTTTTTTCGGCCTGACACTTTTTTTTAAAGAAAAATTCTACTTAAAAAAATCATCGTACAGAGTTCTGCCGGTAATCATTTTTTTCGTTTTGACATACTCTGGTGAAATAAAAAAATTTGTAATCACAGTTCAAAAACATGCTCAAAAATGCAAAAAAGTAAAAAATGACTTGCAGCAATGAATTTTTCATTAATTGTTGATAATTTGTTTAAATTTAAAAAAAATGAAAAACTGATTACACCATTCAATTGTACGGAAAAAATACAAAAAAAATTGTCTCATTGTTTGACCCAAAACTATTTTTATACAGTATTGCTATAAACATAAGTCGAATAGTGAAAAAATAAAATAATAATTTTTTCCGTAGGATCGATTAGTGTACTTGTTTTTTTAAAAGTTTGATGAATTCATAGATATACAGTGTGTCCTAGATAAGGATGGGATAGCATTAGGATCTACGAAACGGTAAGAGATACGGGGTGGCTCAGATTAGAAAAAAGTTGTGTTTTTTATACCTAACAATATGCTGTTTAGAAAGTTTTTCTGGCTTTATTTGAAAACGAATTTGAAAATAAATTACATACTTACAATGCCACATTTTTCGCTCTATACAATGGCATTAACATTTTTTTCGTCTTCAAGGGGCCATCATCGGATAATTTTTTTTATATACATCGCTGCTATTTTTTTGACAAAATCTAGTCATTTTTAATTCTGAATTACAGGATATTACTATTGTAATCGCTTAAAAAGTTTTTAGCTTGTTTTAGCTATAATTTAAAATTTTTCCTGAGTTTAAAAGTCAATACCGCACAATATCCAACAATTTTTTACTACTGTTAGCAATACTAATTAGAAATAATAAAACATTTCATAAATTCGTATTATTTTTTTATTAGGTACATCTTTCCGAATTATGCATTAAAAAAAATTGTTGGATATTTTGTGCTGTTTGACTTTTATTCTCTCTCTCTCTCTCCTCCAATAGATATAGGTATTTTGAAAGCGTTCAGAGCCGTACTCAGGAAGAATTTTTAATGATAGCTAAAAACCTTTTTAAGCGAATACAATAGTAATACCATCTAATACGGAATTAAAAATGACTAGATTTTGTCATAAAAATAGCAGCGATATATTTCAAAAAATTAATCTGATGATGGCCCGTCGAAGACGAAACGTCGGATTGCAAAAATGTTGACGCCATTGGATAGAGCGAAAAAAGTGGCAGTGTAAATATGCAATTTATTTAAAATTCGTTTTCAAATAAAGCCAGAAAAAAAATTAAAACGATTTTGCAAAATTTCGGGTTTTCGGATTTCGCGTCAACAGTAGACTTTGCAGTTAATACTTTGTATTGTTTAAATCTCAAATCATCCAGAGATAATTTATCATTTGTGCATTTGTAATTCGACTTAGATGTTTATAGCAATACTGTACAAAAATAACATTTAATAAAATAACATTTTTTCATTCATTGATATTTTGGCTTATTCTTTTATTATTTTGCAATTGGCTAAACACCACCTTTTTTTATTTTGGGCCCCAGCGGTGTACTCTATATGCCTCCCCCAGTTTTCAAAGATGCTGATCACGACCTTCCCGAACCCTGGCCAATTGAGCAGGGTTAGAAGTTCAACGGACCTTAAATTTGGATTTAACACCCTCAAAAATGGGGGGGGCTTAGTTTCGTAGCTTCAATAATTACTTTTTTGCATTCTTTTACTACACTTTATGGAACTCATAGTCCACATGATTACAGGCAACTTTTATTAAAACCATTTTTTATAAATATTACAGTTGCAGAGTTACAGAAGAATCCCTCTTAGGTGGAACACGCGTATATATTGGGTGTCCCAAAATTCAAACATTTGAAGTATTGCCAACAAAAAAAGGTCATCGTGACCGCTAACAGTTCAGTACTACATGAAAGAACAACGATGAGCAATATTTTAAAAATAATGAAGGTTTGGCAATTAGAGTTCGCATTTTTTGTACAAAATATGATCAGAATAGTGATTTAGCTTCATCAGATGTGAAGAGATTATTTGAGCAATTCGGGGAGACTGGATCAATTAGTGATCTTAAACATTGGCCGTCTTTCAACACAAAATATCGAAGCAGTTCGTGAGAGTGTTTCTGAGAGTTCACGAACATCAATTCGGTACTTTGGTCAAGAATTGAACATTTTGAGAAGCTCTCTACAGCATTTTCACACGAAAAATTTGCATCTACATGCTTACAAAGTTCAAGTAACTCAAGAACCGAAGCCTTCTGACCACGCAGAGAGAAGAGAGTTCGTTGAATGGATTATGGAACAACAGTAAGTGGATGCTGATTTTTCGAACAAAATCGTCTTCAGCGGTGAGGCTCACTTTCATCTTGATGGCTTCGTTAATCGACAAAATAGTCACATTTGGGGTTCAGAAAATCCACGAGTGATTGTTGAGAAAGAAATGTGTCCACAACGTGTCAGTGTTTGGTGGGGATTGTAGGCTGGAGGCATCATCGGACCATTATTCTTCGAAAATGCGGCTGGTCAATGGCCAGGCAATAATAGTTAACAGTGTAATCCAGTTTCTTGTACCTAAATTGCAAGATATGGATGTAGACAATATGTTGTTTCAACAAGACATGCCATACAGCCCGAGAAACAATTCAATTACTTTCTCGTTTTGGTGATCATAATAGGTCATCCAGATCATGCGTTTTAACGCCGTTGAACTTTTTCCTTTGGGTTTTTTTGAAGTCTAAAGTTCATTCCAACAAGCCTACGACCACCCACACCTTGAAGGAGGAAACTGAACCGCATTTATGCAAAACAGTCTTGGCATATTTCGACAAACTAGTGCGTGCGTATGTGCCAACAAAATCGTGGAGGCCATGTAGCCGATATGATATTCCATACATAACCCTATACTGTATACTTTACAAAACGATAAAAAATTAACAATTAAAAACCCATTTTCTATCAACGTTAACTTTTTGCGTGAATTTTGGGACACCCTTTATATGAATAATTACATAATCTGAATTAACTATTAATGCAATAAGAAATTGGAATCAGATAGACTGTTGATAAATGAACAATTTCACGCACTAGAATAGATGATGTGAGAAATATATACACATACGCTGACAATATGTCCTCTGTATTACAAAGGCATATCTCATTTTTGCAAGTTTACGTTAGTTAACATTAGCAAATAGAAGAAATTACAACAGAAATTCACTCCTAAGTACAATAAAAAACAATAAGAATTTTTCAGCTTAAACTTATTCGAGATTGTCATCTAATTTCTCATTCAAAACCAGAGGCGGCCTTAACCAATGCTATGCTCCAGGCGGCTGATATTTGCGAGGCCCTTGTTCTTTGTGAAAAGTACGTAAATCGAATGTAGATATTTCCGATGATTCAAGAGAAATGCAAAAGTTATAAATTTTGAGTTTTCAGATATTATATTAAGAGATTTTTAAAAGTATACAAAAACGACAAATTTTTAATAGTGATAAAAATAAGGTACGAGATTCAAACATATTTTTCAATTATGTTTTACAGTCAAATTACAAAAAATATTATTATCCACTGATAAAAAATCAATTTTGATATCGATCATTAAATAAATCTAAATGAGAAATTTTATTTAGGCACTCATTACTAACTACTTATTAAGTACCTATTAATATGTTTACTATGAATCAACCAACTTTATTTTATTTTCATATACCTCTATAACTAATAGCTAAGGATAAAATAAAGTTTTAAATATAAACTGTTTTTTACTCGGGTTGTTTGTGAGGCCCTTGTAAGAGCGAGGCCCCGGGCGATTTCCTTACTGGCCACCCCTTAAGGCCGCCTCTATTCAAAACCCTACCAATTTTACTTGAAATAATTTTTGTCTAGTTATCCAAAGAAAAATGAGTTTAATCTCGAATTGAATTGCAAAGACATACATGAAAAATTTTCTAACCCTATGTTCGGAAGTAAAATTTGCCGTTCTATCTATCCCTGGCATAAAAAATAGGTTACTGCATTTACTATTTTCACATTGACCTTGGCTTGACCTGGAAATCCATTGGCATATTGGTTTCTTGATGTCCTGCAACTTTTATCTGAAATTTTTTATATAGGATTCAATTCTGAAAAGTTACCGGAGTGTTCGGGTGTTTTGGGACATTCTTTATTCCATATTATTTAGTATTAATATTATAGTGTTGTGATATATTTTCTACAAACATGTTCATAGTTTCGTTAGTAAACCGTGCCTGGTTCCATTATTATCTATTTAAAAATACCTAAATAGAGCTGTAATCAGATTGGATCCCAATTACGTTAGTCCAGATCACGTTATAAACTCGACATGTTTTTTAATTTAGTTCAGTTTACTTGAAAGGCTCTAATCTATAGACTTATTCTAATAATTACAGAAGTTAAAAGTCCTAAAAGGCTAAAAATAGATAGTCTAACGACCTAATATATACCTGATTATAATTCGGATCAATTTAGGTACAAAAATATAGTAGGGAACGTTATCAAAAATATCAAATTGTCTAATAGTGTTGTTAAAAGAACACTTATATTTATTTTACTGCTCTGCAGACGCGTTTTACAAAATATCTTTTTGGTACTGCTTTTAACTACTTCAACTTTACAAATGCTTCCTCAAAACGAATGTAAGTCTTAGATATATCATTAGTAACCAGAAAACATGTGTAGGGTTAGCAATTTACAGATAATGAGGCAATTTGGCGAGAGCAAAGTTGGTTAAGAGCTAAACCAAAAAGTTTTTTTGTGAAGAACGCCTGCAACCTGTTCCAAAAAATAACCGCACACAATTTTTGTAAACATCCTTGATTTTCCGTAGCGTTTATTTAGTCTTCTTCATTTCCATAGCGAACGTAACCGAACGAAGGTTGGTGGGCCACCGGCAAGAAGTCTGCGGCCTCAAGTGGTCTCCTGACAACCAATATTTGGCATCGGGAGGCAACGATAATAGACTTTATGTATGGAACATGCAGTCGTTGTCGCCCGTGCAGACTTACACCGACCACCTGGCGGCGGTGAAGGCTATAGCTTGGTCGCCCCATCATCACGGGTTGCTAGCCTCGGGTGGAGGAACTGCTGATAGGTGTATCAGGTTTTGGAACACCCTCACCGGGCAACCCATGCAGTGTGTGGATACAGGTAACGGGAAGCAGATATAAATAGAACACCAAAAAATAAGACGAAATTTTCTTATATGTCATCTTCCATGGACTAATCGTCTTTTGTTTTTGAGATAAACGGCATCAGAGAAATTTTAGCCATATCTTTAAAAAACAATGTATTGCATTGAATTTTCGTAGAGGTAAATTTTGGGACGTACTTAATACGCCAGTGTTGTTAGTTTTTGACCATCTGCTAGAGGTCGCTAGGTACAACCTTACCCAGTGACATTTTGTGAGGTTAGATTTCTTATTGCACGTCAATACGTATGTGCGTAATACAAGTTAGAATATAAATTTCCAATTTAAACAAAAAAGTGTTCTTGCAAAAATCACTGAAAACACACCTTGTTTGATAAATTCAGAATTAACTATCCCAACGTTAACCAGCTCTTGTCTTTAATATACAGAGTGTCTGCAAATAATGGGCAATACTTCAAGGGTAATTTCTTTGGATGAAAATAAACTAACTTAGATCAATTTACTTTTCCTTAAAATGTTACGGGTCTTCAAAAAATGAAACAAAACACGTTTTTTGAAAGCCTAACTTTTTAAGAAATGAACATTGTGCCAAGGTAACTTGATCTAAATCAGTTTACATTCATCCAAGGAAACTAATTATGGTGTACTGCTCATTCGTTTCAGAACACCCTGTACATTAAATAATAAAATCTTATTGACTTTGGGATAGTCAATTGCATTATATATTCTCAAAAGCGATTAATCTTCTGCAATTTAGGGTACTTTTTTTGTATACAACGAAATTGTATATTGTAAAACAAGACATTCATTGCAAAAAATCTAACCTCAAAAAAAGTTATATTATAAAATGTCACTCAGATAGTACCTAGTGACCTCTATAACAGGGGTCGGCAAATAATTTTAGGTGCGGTCCGGATACTTTTGAAAATTTTTAACGAGGTCCAGAAAAAAATTCATATTTCTTATTTTTTTATTTTAATTTGGACTCAAATTTATTCTGCTTACTAATTAAGAACTCAAAACACTCACACAATTGTAAAATACTAGAAAAAATGATAAGATTGGCACTTAAACGTAAAAAACATTTTTAAATAATTTATTTGAGTAATTTATACTCTCAAAAAATTTTTGGCGGTCCAGTATTTTACCTTCCGTGGTCCGGACCTGGACCGCAGTCCGCCAGTTGCCGACCCTTGCTCTATAAGTAAAAACTGACAACACTAACCTATTTAGTACCCTCAAAGACTTATGAAATATCAAAGGTCTGACTAAGATTTGATGTAAAAAGTAATTTTTGATGTCCTGTAGGTATCTATCTTAAAGAGAAAAAAGTCCATAATCCATAAGAAAAAATTGTCTTATTTTTTATGGTCCCATTAAATGTAATACATTTTTGGCACATCAAACTAGTGTACCTTTTTCACGTGTGAATGAGAGTAAAAAATTCCTATTTCTATTTGGCTACGAGTTCTTCGAGAAAGTGAGGTTACGAAACTTAATTTGTTAGTGGGAGCTCTTTGTGGAATTCATTTTATTGTAAATATGCAGGCAGCACTTTGAAATTAAACTCTTTTGTAAATTGTATTGTAAATTACAAATTTTATCTAGAATACTTATCTATACTTTACACAATTTAAAAATGAAACAGTTATGAATAATTCAAATTATAATATCTATAAACCATGTTTTTTAGATAAAATTATTGATATTATGTTTGCTGCAAAGGAAAAAAAATCGTCACTAATATTTTTATCGTTAATAAGTAGTAATTTTTTGTAATTTACGAAGAAAAATAGTCATTATAGCATTATAATTTCAAGTTAACTATTAAATTATCTAGTTGAAATAATATGATTCACATTGGAAAACCAGATTTAAGATATAGATTGGAAGTACACATTTAATATTTTCCAATGTATTCAGTACAAAATATACCACGTCTTACGTTTCTTGTTTTTTTTATTTGTAATTCAAATTGATTTTGTGGCTTTTCTATCAATTACGTACAAAAATAATCCAGTGAAATATATTTACCATCTTTTTCTAGAATTTATCATCATTTAACCTTGATTATACGTGTTTTCCCTTGTATTCAGAAATTACTCACAATATGGCAATATTGCGTAGAAAAATAACATTCATTTGTGCAGGATCGTATCTGACTTTCCCGAAATATAAACGTTTATCTACAACAATTATAAATAATCAATATTTCACGATATAACAGACTAAAAGATATAATATGATGGGCATACCCGCGGCCATGTTTTGACGTTACATGGAGAGTAAATAGCGGTTTGGGATATTATTCTTACCTGAATGCTAACCTATTCTTATAGCTTGACTTTCATTTTTGGTGTTTTCTAAAATAGTGTAAGTAAATTGTATATTTATATTGTGTCTGTCGATGAATAGATCTAAATGAAACTTTTGATTTCTGTGATGATCATTGACGTTATTGTCTATTAATAATAATTTCTTAAAATGCTTATTGTTTTTGATTGTACAACAGACAAATTTCCACTTTCCAAATAGTGACATTTTAAATGTGGCTAATTGATTCATTCCAGTGCCATGTAACATACGTAAAAAAATGTCAAAAGGCTTGGATTTGTTCATGGCATTAATCACTGAAATCACTTTCCACGTGACATCATGCGCCGTGTGTACTGATTATAATTAAAGGGAATATTATATCTTAGTCTTTCATGCTATGTATCTGAAAAGAATTAAATCAATTATGTTTCATATTTTTTTATTTAATTTTAGGTTCTCAGGTTTGCAATTTGGCGTGGTCTAAACACAGTTCGGAGCTGGTCTCCACACACGGTTACTCCCAGAATCAGATCCTGGTATGGAAGTACCCAAGCTTGACGCAGGTGGCCAAATTGACGGGTCATTCGTACAGGGTGCTCTACCTGGCTCTGTCGCCAGATGGCGAGGCCATCGTGACGGGAGCGGGTGATGAAACCCTGCGTTTCTGGAATGTCTTCAGCAAGGCGCGTTCCCAGAAGGAAACCAGGTCGGTCCTCAGTTTATACACGGGGATACGTTAGATTTTCGTATGGCGAATGCCAATATTTACTTCTGTGAAGTATTTTTTTATATTTTAGACTTATACAACAGACTTGTTTTACATTATACTATAAATCTTTTTTTTTTATTTATACTTGTATTGAATTTACACATTTCACGATATATATGATTGTGATAATTATATTAGCGTTTCTAATGTGTACAAATATTATAGCGATTTATTTATTTTTAGCAAGAGTTTCCGTGAAATATTTTATATCGTTACAAAGTAACTTGAGGAATAGTGGGTGAGAAATTATTTATTTGCTTTCGAGAGATGTTTTTGTTTTTTTATTGGGAAATATTTTTGTCTACTATGTGGCATATACAGGGTGTACCATTTTTAGACAAATAACAGATTAAGTGATAAAACGAAAAAGTACTTTAGTACAAAAAAAAAATAATATAAACAATTGCTTGATGTAAAACATGGTTTTTTTAATATATATTTTTTTGTATATTTTGATGATTAAATCAGTTCTTGTAAAAGTAATTTATTTTTTAATGCATTTACAAGAAAATTTAATGTAATATTTAGAATTGTTACACTTTTTTATATAAAAAATAGAAAAACATGATCGTCGATTTCATATAAAAAATTTTTTTCTTTTAAAGGCATACACATTTTGTAATAAAATAAAAAGATTTTATGGCCTTTTATTATGGTAACACTGATTTATATTTTTCTATTTTATCTTAGAGGGCTATGAACTATTGAACCAATTGCATCTCCTTGCAATGCAGTTGTTATATCAATATTCTGGCATGACCTACCTTGTGAAAATATTTTTTTTATCTTAAACCAATAATAAAATTCTGGCACACCCAGTAATATAGAGCAGAGTTTTTGTAATTTTAAGATACCATTTAATTGACTATTGATTGAAGGCGTTAAAATTAACATACAGGTAACTAGATAGCGGTTTAAAACCGACCTTAGTCACTAGTTTTTAAATCGTTTAGGATCATATATTTCTAATTCTTATTTTGATGACTATTTTTGTTATCGAATGTGTAACAATTGTCGCATGGCCAATACTGAAAATGTAGTAGTTGCAATATTATGTGTAATTTATTTTCAAATGATTAATAAATCTATATTTAAGAATTTTTTGTTTTGATCTCGAAATAAGACCTGGTTTAAAATATTTGTTGCTAAAATGGCAGTTTCGCCAAATAGGATTCAAAGTTTGAGGAAAGGTCTGCAAATTATTATTCAAGGTAAGAAATGTTTTTCCATTAAATATTTTATACATTCGCTAACAAACATTTTTATTTATCAGTTATCAATTGTTAACACCTTTGTTTTCTTGATCCAGTATACATTACTTTTTATTACTCGTGCGAGATAAGTCTTGTCGCTTGTTTTTTTTAGGTCAGTAAATAGCTGTTTGCGTGCGGTAATAACACTTGTCGCTCGCGAATTTACAATAAAACATGGAAAATTTAAATACACACTCGAAATAGTATAGGTACTGTGCAATAAGTGCGGTAAGATGATGTCTATTGCCCACGAGAGCGGAATCCGCTCAAGTGGGCAATAGACAACCGCACCAATTACACATTCTATTTTTTATTACGGATGCGGTGAAATCTTAGGGTCCAGAAGCGAAGCCCGGTGGGGTTGTCAAATAAATGTGAATGGGATTTTTATTCAGTTTAGGTTTATATAAATATCAACTTTTCAAAAATAATATTTTCGTGTATTTAAATTTTGCGTGTTTTACTGTCAATTCGCGGGCGACAAGTGTGATTACAGCACGCAAATAAATGGAGTAGGAAAACGGCTATTTACCCACCTAAAAAACAAGCGAAAAGATAGTACTTACCCCATATGACTAAATAAATAATAATAAATAATATTTAGTTACTCATATGACTTACCCTCATGAGTAATAAACAGAGAGCGGACAATTTGTGTCTTTAACCTTGAACATAGATATGTCATTCATAAACCTAGATACATTATCCATGACGCAGTGGCGTGTCGGGTATGCATCGGAAATTTACGTGATAATTCACGAAAATTCCACGGTACATACATTTTTAGGCGTTATAAAATATTTAGAAAATCAGAAATTGTATACTACATATTTATTAAATAAAGTTCGGTTAAAAATAGTGTCGTTCTTTTAATTGGAAATTAGGAGTCGCCGCGCCATTATTCTATGGCTAGAAATTGGCCTCAATGATTTGGGATCGAGGGGGATTATCCCTCTTTATCCTGCCTC